GGGGGGGGGGTCCGGTATTAATGACAGTGAAAACTATGTCGACGCGTAACGATATGTTATGAGCGGTGAGGAATCACGGAGGACAGATAAACTTTCAGAGCAGATGCCAAGCTCACCTCGAGCGCTTAGTAACCGGATCTCGCATCACCATACACTCCTTCACCTCGCCGTACTTGCAGAAGTACTCTTTCAGACCCTCTGGGATACAAAGCAAAAACAAGGGGCACATTAGTGGGGAATGGTGCTGCCGACTAGAAGGAAATATGAGACGAATTTGTATTTTTCGGCAAACAAAGCTAACCAGGGATTAAAAAGGATTAAATTAAAATAACCAGTAAAATACCTGTCGGATGTTTTTTAAAAACTAAATTAGGAATAACTCATTGTCACCAGACTTTAAACCACCTTACAGAATCACATTTTTTTCTATATAAATTCTGAAAGGGTGCATTCATTCAAGTCCAAGGAAAAACCAAAAAATAAACAAATTCAACATTAATAAGTGGAAATTTGAGGAACTGTAGATTTTAAAACAAGTTCATGCCTCTTTGCCTTAATCCATGCAGAGTATTGAAGACATTTGAGAAGATGTACCTTGTGTTGTTTGCCAGCTGAGTCCACCTATGAACATTTTGCTACGAAAAGAAAGAGAATATTTGCATTTTAGGCAGTGGGATTCGGTAAATTGGATACTTGCGTGCTCGCAGAAAACAAACAAAGTTGTTGATGAAACTCGAGTTTCGGTAAATGTGACATGAAGGCTCCCAGTGTGGAGGTGTGCGCTCCTCAGCCTCCCAGCAGAAAGCAAGGCTTGTTCCAGAAAACGTGTGTGTGGAGGGGGGAGTGGGGGGGTGTGCAAAAAAAGTTTTCTTTCTGACTTACCAGGGGTCGTGAGGGGAGTCCGTGGTGGACAGGTTGGTCTGGCTCCCTTCCGTGTCCATTCTGTGTGGTGGTCGTGTGTGTGCGGGTGCTGCTGCGCCGAGGGTGTCCGGGACCGAGGCGTGCGGGGGAACAGGCGGGCAGTGAGTGAGAGGCTCGGGGCGGGTTTGGCCCGTGGTGTCAGAGGGGAGCGGGCCAGATGCGGGCTGGGACAGACTCCACCTCCTCGTCTTCCGCGTCCGCGTCCTCGTCCTCTACTCCGTCCACCCTGCTGTCTCTCCCTCATCCCTCCGCCATGGGACGCGGCGCCACCGTGGGGCAAAGCCATTGTGAGCGAGGGAGCCTTTTCCGGTGCGAACTTGAAAAATAAGAGCGAGTTCTCGCCATTCCGCACGCTGAAATACACTTCGCTCTAAAGACGGAGCAGAAATATTCGGGTATCAAGGCAAGGTAACAGCAAAGCCTTGAAGCACGGCCCTATATTTATTATATATTTACTATAAGTCGCCTATTAATGGTTTCTATGTTTGCACGGTGAAAATGGTGATATTAGGAGTTTTATTAAGCCAGGCAGGCCTCCATTGAAAGCCCAGATACCAAATGCACAGCCAACCACAGAATAATATGAATTATCAACACTCACCTACAACAATAGACTCATTTCGAAATTTTTTTAAACATGCACTCTTTGGATTATTTTACTAAATAAATAATTCAGTGCAACTTTAGTACATCAACAATTCTATTATCTTCATAATAACGGGGATTTTATTGTACAAAACCGGCATGATGACAGCAGTATTTTCTTTGCCAAATTACTCAAAACAGTGTTCCAAATGATCATGCAAACAGTTCAAAAAAAGAACAAAGCTTTAAAACAGGCTGTTGATAATATTAACATTGCACTTTGTAAAATAAGTCTTGTTGCCCTACCCCATAGCCCAGGTATATGAATAATATGGGAGTTGCTGTCATATGCACTAAAAGCCAGTCGGTACCTACCAGAAATTCCTACAGCTCCTTCAATGTTGCTCCCGGCCTCATGACCATTTTTCTTCTTCCAAAGTGAAGTGCATTTATGTATTTTCCACGTATGTTTCTATATTGTAGCCTTTTGTCACAAAATATTCTCAAAGTGCTTCATACGCCCATAGTTCACAACAATCAACTATCTCTGTCTTCGCATCAATTTTGGAGGGATGTTCAGTTCTTGGTACGAATATTAATGCCTTTCATCAAAAATCAGCTGGTAAAGAAAATGGATGGATAAATGAAGATTGTCATGGCATTTGCGTCACTCTGAGGTTTCTAATATAGTATTTAGAAACTTCAACCTAATTGAGAGAAGCAAAGTATTGCTCCGCCCCTCTGGCAGCCATCAATGAAATGCAGTTGCTCATAACGTCTCAAAAGCAATTGAAGACTTACCTGAAGGACGAACTTGTTAAAGCACTCGTTGGCTTCCATTTATCTTGTTTCCTGTTGGGGTTTATAGCCTTTATTGTGAAGGCACAACATGTGAACTTCCAACCGTGTGTTGGCAGATCTCTATACACTTTACTAAATTGTGGTTTCAAATGCAGTTTTACTGTTAAGCGTTAGTAACGCTGTCATGTGCAAGCTGTATTCTGATCATGAAGTCTCAGGTTCAACATGTGTCTCCGAAATTTGAATAAACATGGATACTAAACACGTCTCGCATACAACTTTACTTACTTGTAAGGAAAATAAATTTGAAATGAAACAACGAGCATTGTTCAAAGAAGATCTATGAAGGCTACAATATAGACCAGGGGTGTCAAACTCATTTTAGTCGCGGGGGAATTTGGAGTTACGTCTTCCCTCGGAGGGCCGTTATGACAGTGAAACCACAAAATGATTTTGAAATCAGTCAAGTCAATTATAATTGTTTGTTCAATTATTATTCAAGTGAGTGTAGACTGGATAACAAAATTAATGCGAAATCTCAACTTTATTTATTACACATGACAATTTCACAATTTTGTACAGATTTTAGCAAGTTGACACACATGATTTGCTTTCGCGGGCCACATAAAATGGCCTGGCGGGCCGGATCTGGCCCCCGGGCCTTGAGTTCGACACCTGTGATATTGACGCTATGAGCATCTTAGTAAACCTCCTGCAGTTCACTTAAGTCAACTGTGAATTACATCACATCTAGCGACGAATAACAACATAAACATCAAGCTGTTTTCATGTTTAAAAAAAAAAAATCTAAATCTTTTAGCAGTTTCTCTGGGTTGTTGATAGTTAAGTCTCACTTCTCATGTATGCTATTTCTAAGAATCTGATGGTAGTTCAGTTTGAGTGCATTCGAGCCTGCTTTTTAAGGATATTTCTGGGAAGCAAGCATTTCAAGATTTTCCGTCTAAGTTTTAATACTCCCAGCTGATACAGTGTTCTAACAGGAGGCCTGTGTGCCGTGCTCATTCATGGCTGGACTTTAAGTATTTAATTAGTGCCAAAGCCAGCTCCAGCTAATCTTCTCAACACTGCTTCAACATGTGACCAGGTTACCAATGTTAAGATGTTAAGACCAATCAATAGCCAAAGTAATTCACACAAAGACAATGGCAGCTTTGACTTACTGCGTGTAAAGTGTATGCAGACCTGTAAAATAAATAAATAAATAAAAAAGACCTTAGCCTTTGGAGTAAATTTGCATATAGCTATAGGTGTGAGTGTACATGGACTGTATGTATTCTTCTTTAGCAGTCATGAAGTGTATAGTTAAGGATGTGCAAGCAGAGAATTACTTTTATGGTCTTGCTATAGTGCACGCTATCCAGTCTGCTAACTTGCCTGCCCTTCACAGCAGATGAAGCTCTGGAAGTGGGACAAGGGCTATTTGGACATGAATGAAGGGTTGGTTAAATTTCTGCATGCATGATCAATGGGGTTGAATAGTGGTGTGGGGGTGGGGCTGGTTGAGGGACGAGGAGGATGTGGAGACACAAGACAGCTAGTAGTGAGTACACAGTAGCAGCCTATCAAGTCTCAATAATGAGAGATGGACAGTGTGGATTGCATCTCATTACCAATCAGCACTGCTTTCAGCTCTCTGGGGAGAGAAAATGCGAGCTCATACATCTGCGCTGCATGCGGCCAATCTTGATAAAACCAGCTTGTGCGCTGGAGAATTCAGCAAAGCAGTGGCTGAAATGTTGAGAATATACACACTCTGCCCTCTGTCCGCTTTGGTGAGGCGTTCCTTCTGCAAAGCAACGATGAGACTTAATTACAGGTCAGTGACACATCTCAGAAAGATAGAGAGAGCTCTGTTACCCATCCAAATACAGTATAATGCCATTTTCCCAAGGGTGGGTGAGGTAACAGAAGCTGCACACAAAAAGGTGCTGATGGGCTGAACCTGAGAATGGTATAAGGTGATCGAAGCCGACAAAGTGAGTGTTTCACAATGAAAGGAGAAAAATTCGTTAACTCTCAAAGGCATTTTCTGGTTCCATTTGCCCCTTTTCTCTTCTGTTCATCTTGTTTGGCAGACTAATGAGCCCAAAGATGAGGAAATCTTTAGTTTGCAAATCAGATCGTCGGATTTGGCGAGAAAGTGAGAAAGTCTACAACTGAAGAAGAAATCCCGTTGCCAAGCAAAACACAAAAACAAGTTTGATGTGTGACCATCCTTATTATGATTGTTTCAGAAAAGAAAACAAAGTGACAGTCATTGGTATCAGTGGCATTAGAGCTGGAAAAAAAATATAACATGCGGGTACAGTACATGAAGAGTGTGCCAGAAGTCTTGTTTTACATTGTCAAATATAAGTAAATTGATATTAAATTGTCACAAAATTCAGAATTATAGAATTAAGAACAAAAGTGTCGGCAAAAGCAATGAAATTGTTTCAGATGCTACATGTGCTTGAATTTATAAACCTTGGCAAAACCTGTGAAGAATTGGCATTTTTAGAGAATATGTGACTGATACCTGAATGGGGACCATCTTATTATGTTATTTATTGCCATCTTTCGTGTATTGATTATGGCACTCCTAAAACGGCGTATATTTTAATTTGAATAAGACTAAAACGACATTAAATTGGTGTCCCTCATGTTTGCTTTACAGAGTGCTACACGTCTTACAAACTCTACCAGTGTATGGGCCGAGTAAACTTGTCCGCTCAATTCTATGTAAAAGTATAGACATGATGCGCTAACAATTCAGGACGAGGTGACGCATTATGGCTCGATAGAGCCCTCTGGTGACGACAGGGACAAGCCAAATATGCTATCTGAAATGTTTTTAAACTGCAACAGGGAACCTTGCTCCACAACTACCATAGTTTTGAATAATCATACGTTAAAAATGGATAAGGGCCCTTGTGTGTTACACAATTTTGTCTTGATTGGCAAAAACACAGGGATGGATTGTTATATCAGTTTGAGACATTGAGAGAGGTTCTGCTGCCTCTTAAAATTTGCTGGAGAGTGTATCATTGTTACTCTTTTCCTTTTAACTAATAGTTTGTTAAAGTGCACTTTGGTCACCGTTGGGGAATGAGGGAGAAGGGACAAAGTTCAAGGCGGGGGGAGGCGGTGAAGAGGAAGAAGGTTAAAAAAAAAGAAAATTGACCTTTGAAAGCTAAACAGCAGGTGGAGAGCTAAAACCAGGCAGCTCAGGATTAATCGAGAGGAAAGTAAACATAAAGAAAAGAAAGTATCAGAGGGTTTTTTTTTTCTCAACTGAAGAGGGATTACAAATATGATGGCACCCATCTTTGTCCATCTGGCCAAGCTCTGAGTGTGTATCCGACACATGAGAGCAGAGAGCTTGTTTGCAAAAGCGGGAGCAGGTAAGGCATCAGAGTAATGGAGGGCGAGGAAAGGGCCGGGGCTGCCATGCCGAGGTGGGGCCGTCTGACGGCCCTTCAGGAACAGCTGGTCTGGGCCCTGCTGGAATCGGGCCTGTCCAGGGATGTCTTGATTCACGCAATGGGGGAACTGGAGCGAGACAGAGCGAACGGAACAGACAAGGGAGAGAGGGGGGACGGGGAAAGCTCCGAGGAGGGGGAAATGGATTACCCACCACCGATATTCCGAGATTTGGAGAAGCTTCCTCCTGAGGAGGCGGCCAAACTGAAGGCTGAAGTGGAACGGCTCCTGCAGTAAGTAGATCCCAGCAATAAAGGCTGCAGAATTGTTTTCTCCCAATGAGTAGAGCAAGAAAATGTCTTGAAAATGTGGTGACCGCCACCTTGATGCCGCATTTACTACCCTTGCTTTTTACTTGCGAACAAAACCTGCAAATGTTTACTGTGGGACACCTCGTAATCTTGGTTCCCGTCTCTACCCAAATGCTCCCTTCTTCCTGCCTGTCTGTGTGTCTCTGGCGTCTGAAGCCAATTTAAAGAGGGTTCCTCCTTTGCTAGTTACTAATTACCCACCACCATCATTATTCTGTGGCCCAATTCTTAATAAATAAGCTACACGCATATGTTGGTGAAGATTAATGGAGAAGGGCTGGTCCTAAGTCAATGTTTGCATTGCGGCACGTGAGGTATCTTCACATTTGAATAACTGATTTCTAATTGGCATCTGCTTGAAATGTTGCATTTAACAATCATTTAAAAGTGACTTGTCGACAGTAACATTTTCCCATCAAATACTGTTTAAAGGATAATATTTAACAATGAACTGGATGCAAAATTATGGAACCACGGATATCGGTGTTGGTGTTACTTGTACATTTGTCATCTATGACTAACTTATTTTTTAGCAACTTTTAAATAAGGCCTTCCGTGCTCTGAATGTTTTAGGCATTTTCGTCACTGATCTGTAGCAGTTGGACTTTGCTCCTGTGTGCTTTCTCTTATCTCTCTCTGTCAATATTGCTCCTGGACACTTCTTTCCAAGTGATCACGTCTGACAGCTGTTGCAAGAATTATATTCTCTCTCTTTCTTTGAGTCTATAGATCCTCTGTACGCTGACAAAAAAAAAAACAAAAAAAAACAACAACAACAACAATAATATTTGTATGGTATGGAGTAAAAGACAACCATCCATCGATCCATTATCTGAACCGCTTATCCATACTTCAGAAAATATGAGGCAAATAAAGTAAAATCTCAGCTGCTCTCACAAGTCACAGTGTAAGGGACACAAAAAAGAGCTGAATCAGCAATGTTGTTTTAACAAAGGCAATAAAGCCGATTTTAAAAATAAAATGTCATTGACTGTCACAACTAAATACATTATAGTAACATTACACCATATATTGTTTACATTGGTGAAAAATTGCACTGCAGTCTTATATGAGGCAAAAAGCCTGATGCGAGTATCTTGTACATTTCAGGTCCTGCAGTTGTTATTTTAATGACCTTTTTCATAACAGTCACATGGGCCAAGAAGAAACTCTTTACATTTTGAGTGAAACTGCACTTTTAGACAGTCATGATACTGCGACAACAGCAAATCTAATGGTGACTTTCAAAGAACAACAAAGGAAAAGGTATCTTGGTACAATTTTCAATATGAATGAATCTTGAATCTCAGCCATTCCTGTGTGGAGTTTGCAGGTTCTCTGCGTGCTTGCATGGGTTTCCTCCTACAGAAGCATGCATATTTATTTATTTATTTATTTCATTTTTATTGTTTACTCGAAAAGAACAATGCAAATTAATGAACACTGGTATAGTATCTGCGTTTAAAAAAAAAAAAAAAGGCCAAGTTAGCATACAGCTAATTGAAGACTCTAAATTGCCCATAGGTGTGATTGTGAATGTGAATAGTGTTACCTGTTCCATGTAATTGACCAACGACCCGTCCACTCTCGCCCAAAGCCAGATAACTCATCCATGAACCTGAAAAGGCTAAGCTAGAGTAGATGAATGGATGGACGAAAGGGGTGTGTTTTATATGTCTGGTTCCAACAGGGAGGACCCATGGCATGTTGCAAAAATGGTGAAAAGCTACATGCAGCAACACAATCTCCCTCAGAGAGAAGTGGTCGAGTCCACGGGCCTCAATCAATCGCACCTCTCCCAGCATCTCAACAAAGGCACGCCGATGAAGAACCAGAAAAGAGCTGCACTGTACAGCTGGTACGTCAAGAAGCAGTGTGAAATCAGCCAGCGTGAGTACACAAGCACCCGGAGAGCTGTTTGATTAATAATATCTAATTTCAAAATCTCTGAGAGTGGAAACATAAAAGCGTGTGACCATTACCTTCCAGAATTCACCAATGCCAAACATGGCCTCACATCTATGGAGGAGCCAGGTGAGGACTCCAGGAGGGGTCGGAGGAACAGATTCAAATGGGGTCCTGCTTCCCTACAGATCCTTTTCCATGCCTACGAGCGACAAAAAAACCCCAGCAAGGAGGAGAGAGAAGGCTTAGTGGAAGAATGTAACAGGTACGACACAAAAGTGGTGTTTACATAGATCCTAAATTTACTTGACGATGATTTCATCTGTTCTGAGAGTGCATGGATATATCTTCATCACATTCAAAGTTGCACGAAAGAGGAAGTCACGTCAAAAATTGCCATTTTGCCTTGTACTGCAAGTTGCTGTACTGCCGCTCCCATAGCGCAGATGATGCACTGGATGGGGGGCCCCCATCGTCCTTGGGGGAAACGGTGGGGGGCACCACTTTGTATTTCCTGCCCACCTGGCGATAAAATAGTTTTGATGCATGAAAAACAGGCGTTTGTATGGGTTTGCGCGACGTCCTCTGACTCAGCGGCGGCCCTGCTTACTGTCGTCGAATGAAAAATACATCATCGTGCCTAAAGGCTAATCATGCGAATGTCACATGCCCAAACCCAGAAAACAGGTGAGAGGTGACAGTCATTACCTGAGTCTAGTATTGTAGTCAAGACCACACCAATCGAGACCAAGACATTATCGAGACTAGAGAGTATCAGGACCGAGACAAGACCAAGATTGTGGAGGTCGAGACCTAGACAAGACTAAGACTGTATATTCAAAGAAAAGTCACACACATGCACACACACACACACATGCACACACACACACACACACACACACACACACACACACACACACACACACATAAATGACCAGTATCTTTTTTTTTTCCATTATATTTGCAGCAATTCGAAAAGCCGCATTGTCTTTGAAAGAGTGCAATGAAACAAATCTTACATCTAATAGTAAAACTGAATGTTTTGACAAGCCATAGAAATGTCATTTTAAATGCAAAAAGAAAAGTCAGGAATAATGCTTAAATTAAATGAAGTTAATGGAAAAATAACACTGACATTTCTTTTCAGTGAAGTACTGTATTTGTAAAATAACTTTCTTGAACATAGGTCTTTAACTTTGACATTATATTGTTTCATCAGCCAACTGCAGTACACAGCCATGAACCTTAACAACGCAGAACCTTCATGGAGTGTTCTGATTTTAACTTTCTCAATGTAGTTAATTTAATGATTACGTTACCTGTCTTTATACTTCCTCTCAATGTGCTGATAAAAGTTGGACATTGTGTCAGCGGTTTCTGTAAGCGGTTGACCACAGAATTTGTACGTCTCCATTTGTCTTCATCTACTCTGTGTGCAAGGAGCGCAGCTCTCCAGGCGACATCGGGAAGGCAGAGCAGCACCTGCATTTTGCGTTTCGCAGTGTTCACAGCAGCAGCCTACTGGCCTGGTCTCGACAGGTCTTGAACAAAAATCCTGAGTCCGCCCTGTCCAAGACCGAGGCACGACTGAGTAAAAGTTTTTTTCAGAGAGGAGACTGAGGCACTTAAAAATTGGTCTCAGGAATTTCAACACTACCGGAGCCCTTTGGCACGGTGGTGTCATATTCAGGCGACAGCAAATGGAAGTACGAGACAAAACGGCCGGCCCTTGAGATGGATAAAACGAGTGCATTTTTCTCCTTAATCGACATTCCACAAATGCAATATCAATCAGAAAACTATATTTAGCCCTGGAGAACCCATGGGGTCAAATTTGGCCACTATAAATTCTGCTACTGAAACGCTACCCTTTAATCCCAAAGGGTCAAATTTGGCCCTAATCGTAAATTAGGATTAAAGCATTAAATATTTGAAAAAACATATATTTTGGTGTTCAGTGAACATATAGGAGTCATTTAATGTATAATTCATCATTTTCCAAAGAAGAAAAGGGTTCTTGGGTTCTCCGGGGTTAAACTCGTGCGGACGCACAGAACATATTATTGGGAAGAAAATTTTGGACCTGACTTCTCCATTAACTCTATGTGACTTCCTGCCCCCCAGGGCAGAGTGTTTGCAAAGGGGGGTGTCTCCTTCACAACTTGCTGGCCTGGGCTCCAACCTGGTCACTGAGGTCAGGGTGTACAACTGGTTTGCGAACCGTCGAAAAGAGGAAGCCTTCCGGCACAAACTGGCTCTTGACGTGCCTTTCACCAACCACTCGGTTTCTTCTTCCAACCCCAACCTTTCCTCAAGTCCAGAGCTCGGTAATAATTTTCAACGTTCATGTATGAAAAATGGTTTTACCTCGAGTGTGAATTACTATTTGTCTCATTGTCTTTTACAGCACTATATTCAAGTGGCCATACTGTGTCGGAAGCACATGCGACAGATTGACAACAATGGTTGTGTTGATGATTTTCTGTTACATCCCAGGTGTCAAATACAGCCATCAAATCCAGTGCGACACCCTGAACTCAGCCAGAGGTAGCGGAGGGGAAAGTGTGGGGCGTCTTGTGGCCAGTCCTGTCCAGCTGGAGCCAAGCCACACACTCCTTGAGAGCCACCATCCCAAGCTGGTGAGGCTGTGTTCTCTCCCTGCCATCCGCGATATTGCTGACTAATTGGGGGCCATCATGATCACGTTGCCATCTGGTTTCAGGTTTCCAGTGGAGGTCCACTGCCGCCTGTAAGCACTCTAACCTCACTGCACAGTTTGTCCTCTCCTGCATCCTCACAAGGCCTCATCATGGCTTCCCTGCCCAGCGTCATGAGCCTAGGAGAGTCCTCACTTGTCATCGGTAACCTTGAACATTTTAGGTTTTGGATGACTTCTTTGCTTTGTGTTTTTACACTCATCTGTTCATCATCAGGTCTAACTTCAACGCAACCTCAAACGGTACCCGTCATAAACAACATGGGAGGCAGTTTCACCACTCTGCAGCCAATCTCATTCCAGCAGCAGCTTCACACCCAGCAACCAATGCCACAGCAGCTCCAGAGTCACATGGGCGTCAGTCCATTTATGGCTACTATGGCACAGCTGCCAAGTCACAGTAAGGGTGCAGCAATGCGCACTGTTCATAAAAACTCGTGGAAAGTGACACTTCATTCTTCTCTTAATTGTAGTGTACAACAAGACTGATTCGCCTCAGTACCCTTCGTCCGGTCTGCTGTCTCAGGCCATGGTCATCACAGACAGCAGCAGTCTGGGGACACTAACCAGCCTTACATCTGTCAGACAGGTGACTTCAATGGAGCACACAAGTCAGCACATGATCCCTGTGTACTGGACTATTTCAAATACCAGTTTTCTTTTTGGATAGATTTTAACGGCAGATCCCGAGGAGCAAACAGACCAATCATTGCAGGAAAATTCTCTGCATCTGCAGGCTCACACACCTGTACCAGGTACGCACGCAGCAGTGAGCGCAGGTTGCATCGTGACACGGAACCTCTGGCTTGTTAACAGCTGATTGGCCATGACACAACTCAAAAGTGCATCAGAGTTACACAAAGCTGGAGAGCCGTGAGGTTGTTTACAAATCCAAGCGCGTCACATCAGTTTTTCACTCACCTTACCAAGCTATTGCTACTGGTCAGTGGGAAAAATACGGTTGAGGCAGCTGGTATTTCTTTTTATTATTACTATTGTGATTCTTTTGCATGTATAAAATTTCCAGATTCAAAATAATTGTCTTCTTTTTTGTCAACAGCATCAAGCCAGAGCCCAGAGATGTATTCTGCTTCCCAGACAACAGACAGCCACCAGGCTCACCTCCTGTCCCCTTCACCGACAGACATTAGCTCTTACATTCCTGCACAAATGGTCTCTCCAGCACAATAGTGCTGTGCTCCAGCAATGCCTCCCCAACACCAACCAACGTGACTAAGGAGCTGTTCGGAAAGTTTGGAGGTTTTAAAAACTCAGATACAACATAGCTGTAATGTGAACAAGGATCAGTGTCGGAGATGATGAGCTTTTTAAACAGACAAAGAAAAATCATCCAATTTGACCAGAAAATGTATTTTATTGAAATACTTTTTTTGTAATAATCCTGGGAAATCGTATGTTCACTTAAAATGTGAACTCAACATTATATGCATTTTATAAACACACTTTGAATATCTTTTGTGACAAGCTATCAGCAATAGTATTAAACGGCATGATTTTACATTATGTAGACTGATTGTAAACATGGGACTATTTTCTTAAACATGTTTTCATCCATTCTTTTTACATTCTGACATTGAAGAAAGAAGCATTTTCACTCCAGTCCCATTCAACACATCATGCAACTTCCTTTTTCCATTTGACTTTGTGGTGTCCCTGCTTTGAACCTGCCTGCTCGCCGTTGTTTTGAGCACAAGGAGATCCTTCGCAGTCCAC